GCCAAGTTGGGTATTTCAAATAGAATTGGATAGATATCCATTCTAAATGAACCATGGATCAATGAAATCCCCATTTTGGGCTCTCATGTATTGATCTTAATTAGTGTATTGTGAAGATATAGTAAGGGTATAATGTACCTTAGCTTCAAATCAACACCCAGGGTCAATTCTAAGGCCAAGTAACCCTATAAGAACTCTTCTTGAGCTCTCCCATAATGATCTTACCTTCTAAATATTAGAGGTTAGGACCAATATGTGGAATCTCAAGTTGAGCAAAGAGGAGTTTTAAATTTCTAATGGTGAGGATACCTTTTCTAGTTTTCTAAGATTGGTCAATAAGAAAGTCCTATGGCTAGACCTAGGCTACTAAAGAAGTTTCTAGACCTCAACCAAAAGTGAGGTCAACAAGCTTATCAGCAGATTATTCAATAAGCTGCAGCTGCCCCAAACAGACATGAAATCACATCCCATTTTATCGCTTAAATCCAATATCTAAATTATTAAACAACATTTCGAATTTTCAACATTGAAAAATTGAATTATTGTAAAAAAATTTATAATAATATCTAACAATCTAATTATATCATCTATTTACAAACTTATATTTAATTGTATTGAGAGATAATATGAGATATATACAATTAAATATACGTCCCCTAAAGTAAATACATCAAAATATTTTGGTATTATTATTTTTTTTTCAAAAAAAAAAAAAGAAAGAGAAAACGATCAAGGAATTCAGTCGCAAAAAGGGAAAAAAATTGCGTGCATCTGTAACCTACAAATAGGTTACAAGGAGAGTATTAGGAGGTTATATCCACATTATATCTCATGTAACCTCCCTATAACCTACTGTAACCCACAAATTTATGAAAATAGAAGCGCGAAACTTACTAGATGGTACAGATAGGTTACATTGAGGTTACATGGGGTATAACGCGGTTATAACCTCTCAATACCCTCACTGTAACTTATTTGTAGGTTACTGACGTACGCAGCTCTGCGTACGTCTTACGTACACAATTTTTTTCCCGCAAAAAGGCGAATAAACAATAATGGCAACAATGACCTGAGTACTACTATGGAATCATTGGACGCATGCCTTTTTTAAAAAGTGAACATAGAATATAGAACTCCTTAAAAATAAAAATAAAATAAAATAAAGAAACCCAATGCATACAAAGTACGCCTCTCAATTCATTTATGTAATGCAAAAAAGTGTGCTCGATGAATGCAAATTGAATTTTGGTATGAAAAGTTCCCACCATTTTAGCTTTACGACCATAAAACATAGAGATGTGTATTTATAACATTATGGTGTTAAAATTTCATGCAATGTTATGTGATGTCAAAAACTATGGTGGTATGGTATGCATGTAAATATTATTGTTTAGAAGTTAAATCTGTAAATATGTAAGAATTGTGTGGTGTGCGAATCAGCGAATGCCCATGTGAAGTGAGACGCCATGCTAATGCGCACATTCTCCACGCCTGCATGATTATGAGACCCACTAATTCGACGTAAACGACAAAAAGTAGTTCGGCCCTCCAAAAATAATCAAATAAAAATTAGCTGGGACAAATATACTTGTAGGGATGTAAACGAGCAACTAGTGTTCCGTTCGTTAAAAAATAATTTTATTCGTGTTCAACTCATTCATATTTCGAACACAAATTTTTTGTGTTCAGCTCGTTTGCTTAGCAAACGGAGCACAAGTTATTCGTGAACAAAGAGGCACTTTGACAAACCTACTCACGTGGCCGTTAGAGGTGCAAACGAGCTGAGCTTGAAAGAGCCCGGACTCAGCTCGTGTTTGGCTCATTAAAAAATATTATTATTTTTGTTTGACTCGTTTATATATCGAGCTCAAAAAGTTGTGTTTGGCTGATTTGCTTATCGAGCCGAACATAATCTGTTCGCAAACAACGAGTCATTTTGACAACCCTAGTCACACAGCCGTAGGAAGTTAAAAATATGGCGAGATTTAAATCTTATTATTTAAATTATTACATTCATTTAAATAGAATTTAACTTTTTTTTCTCTATTTTTAATTAGTAATTTTAATTGATTATAAATTTTTATAACCTTATAATCAATTAAATTATTTTAAAATAATAGTTATTATATATAATTTAATTACTTCAAGCCAAAACGAGCCGAACACGCACGAACAAATCTTTTTTCATGTTCCAACTCATTTTCTTAGCAAATAGATCAAACACAAGTTACTAAACGAACCGAATACGAGCTGTTTATGAACAAAGAGCCAGGATGCTTTGACATACATACCACTCAAGTCCTATGTATTTATATATAAAACATCCATATATTTATTTTTACACACATTTGCACACCAGCAGGGCTCAAACCCCCAACCTTAGGTGAGTAAGAACTGACATAGCAGATGCCAACCAAAGAGTTTATATATATATATATCAACCATTCTAAATTCCAATTTTTGACCTTTATAACTGCAGGGAAACAAAATACTAAAGTCAGCATTTCTATGGTTGACAAGTTTTTTTTATGATCCTTCAATAAAAAAGAATAACTTCGAGCATTCATAAAATTGTATGTCCACCAAAATATTTTTAAGCTCTTTATAATGTTTTTTTTTTTTTTTTATGCAATCCTAAAATTTCTTGAGTTTATTTTTAATGTACCACATCTTAGTCAACTTTAAAAAGTAGCTTACTAGGTCAAAGCACATGCTTCACCACTTTATCATGAGCTAAAATTGAGGCAGAAACAGGTCAGACAAGACTTTCCCATACACAACATTAAACTGCCCTACTCATTATAGTGCAAATCTTGATTATGAATGTAACCATACAAGCATTCAGGGAACTTAAAATCATACCATTTTATTCCTACGTATTTAAATATCTAATATTTTGTATAAAATCCTTAGATCATATAAAAAAAAAACTACTCATATTAAGTTTTCTAAAATGAAATACACTATTTCAAGCATCTATTTTGATGCAATTCAGACATTAAAATTGTATATAAATGTAAAAAAATTAGTTATTAGATATGTTAGTACATAAGAATTAAATGTTATGCATGTAAATCCTCCTAAATATATGCATTAATATGCATCTAAAGTTATTATTTTTCTATCCTATAAAAATTAACAAGCAAAGTGCCAAAATTGTTCCCTACTATTTACATGTGGCCGTTATAATCTCAGAGTTTATAGAAGTGTCAAAATAGTCCCTGATTATTTATAAAATTGGGCTCCAAGGGATTATTTCATTCTCAATTTAATGACTCTGGGGACTATTTTGACACTTCTATAAACTCTAGGAAAAAAACAGCCCCATGTACATTGACGGGGACTATTTTAGCATTTTACTAAAAAATCAATAGATTCCTCAACCAGTTCTTCAAATTTCTCTCATCTGCAATCTATATAACTATCAAAATTTAGCTATTAGATATGTCAGCTCTCAGTACATAAATCCACACTTCCATTTAGAACGCACAGTCCATCATAGAAGTGTAGTACCCAGCCAAAAACATAATAAGTGATCTATTTTACTACATTTGGTTTATATTTACAGATTTGCAATGATTATAGCATTTTATATTCAATTAAGTAACCATATACAATATCTCCAGTCCCTAACTGCTACAGCTTATAATTCGCATCCAATCTGAACCCTAAACTATACAGTAATAATTCAACTTACCAGAAGCCATCATCAACCGCAACAGATGAAGAAGAAGAAGAAGCCATGTCCTCTTCTTCCAATTCCACCTCCATCTCGCCTGACTCGAACTCCGGAGATTCAACAGCAGCAAGGTTCTTCAAATCAACAATGGAGAGCTCGTCGAGCCGACGCACCACAAGATCTGCAGCTCCAAGCTCATACAGTGGATGCTTGCTAGCTACTGCAACACACTTCATCCTTGCATCATGAGCCGCCTCCACCGACGAATTCGAGTTCCCAACCACAATGCACCGCTCCGGTATAAAATTCAGGAGCTGCGCAACATACACATACATCTCAGGATCTGGCTTTCCTCGATACACATCCTCTGCCGCCACGATCGCATCCACCGAATTTCGCAAACCAACAGCCTCCATGGCTTCCTCGAGGACTCTTCGGGGGCGCGTTGATGCCACTGCAATGGGGATTCTATGTCTCATGAGTGTACTCACCAACTCTTGTGATCCAGATCGAATCTGATGGAATCCACCATGAAGATTTTGTTGTATCTCCTCCTTTCGAGAGGCTAATCTGCGGAGCTGGGATGGGTCTCGAGACCAGCAAAGGACTTCTGAAAGAGCTTGTTCGTTCTTCATTCCTTCAATTCTTGTTAGAAGAAAGGCAGGGGGAGGAGATTTTGCTTCCTCTTCAGCTAGAACTAGCCAAGCCTGCCTCTCCAATGAAGGGTCATCTTCCACAATAACGCCTTCCCACTCAAAGATTATACCTAACCATCCAGATCCCATTCTCTCTTGCCGGAGCAATGGATTGTGCAGTGATGGGTTATCGGCCTTGTTGGGCGGCGGCCATAGCCTGCTAGCGTTCAGATTAATATCAGTAGAGTACTTGAAACCATGGAAGGAACGATCTTCTCCAGGTCTTGCTTCCTTGGTCAACTCCGTTGCAAGACATTTGATAGAAGAAGAATGAAAAAAACTACCTGTTCGCTTTGTCAGTAAGCTCAGATTCTGTGAACAGAACAGGCGACGACCCTTGAGCTTTGTCGTAAGCAGCGGGCAAACCTCCACTCGCCTCTTGCAAGAGCCGTTCTTGAAGGAAGCCCTTTGGTAGACTGGTCGGCATCCCATAATTGATGTAGAAGCACCGATCGAATCAATCGCCATGGCAGAATGATATTAGCAGAGGATTACACAAATCTAACCAGAAAAGAGCTTTTCCCTTCCAAAAAAATCCCTAATTATGCTAATTTTTCAATAGAATCTTTCTCAGCTTCAGCAGAAAGTAACAAATTCGACCCCTAAACCCCACGAAGCCTTCAAGTATCTGTATTTCCCGGGCAGGAACCCTAACAAACCAAAATAAGAAGAAATGTATAAACACACTCAATCAATAAACAAAATCTGAATACAGATCATGAAAAACAGAAACTAATACAAAAATCACGTTAACTACATCTAAAACCAATTTTATTAAGCAGATTATGCATCCCGACTCGCGACAACAATAAACAAAAATCAGAATCTAAGATCCAAGTACACAAATTGAAAAAAAAAATAAAATAAAATTAAAACTGCATCCAAATAAACTCGATTCCTCGATCGAATTACAGAGCATCTAAATTAGGATAAGAAAAACCTGGAAGGGATTGACAGTTAGCTTCAGCAAGGAGTCGAACGACGAAGGGAGAGAGGAAATGGAGAAGAAATATGTTAGCTTTTGGCTCAATCTAAATCCTTTCCGTGTACGCCTCTGCCCCCGCAAATTTGGGTCGGTTTTGCCGTGCTACAGTGCTTTATGGCTTCAGCCAACGCCACGTGTACCGTGTCCAATCCCACCAATTGATTACATCTTTCGCCGTCTATCCCTTGTTTAATTCATTTATGTTTAGGTAGGAAGGCTTATAAGCCTACATTCTTCTTGTTTGAGCAAGATATCATTCACTTTTTTTCTTTTTGCCATTACTATTGTTGTTCTTTCTATTCTTAATCATCACATGTTTCATTTAATTTATATTGATAATATCTTTTATTTGAAAAAAATTACTTAAATATTATCATCATTATTAGACATACTTTGATTAAATTTAGCTAGATTATTAATCTTTTTGTTAATAATTTTAAATCTTTTATAGTTTTTCTTAGTCCATTGATAAATTTAGTCAAAATCAAATTTGGAATATTTATGGGCTTATTATTAAACATTTATCTTTGGAATAGCTTGAGAGTTATTATTAAACCAACTAAGTTGGGCCTGACTGATTGTAATGTTATTTTTTATAAACTCCAGAAGCGGTTGGCTGCTTGGAAGCAAAAGCTTTTATCTGCTGCTGGTAGGTTTTAACATATTAACTTTACTATTTTGAGTAATTTATACTATTAATTCTTTTGTCTGTTATTTATAAAAAGATTACGAAAAGAATTACTTTTATTATTTTAAATTTTCTTTTGCATAATGATAGTGATGATAAGTTTTATAGCATTTCTTGGAACAATGTTACTTTTTTTCTAAAATTTATTGTGGTCTCGGTATTCTTTTCTTGGATAACATCAACGTTATTTGTAATTCTAAAATTATTTGAAAATTTTCTAATAGTAATTCTTATTTTCCTAAATGGATTTAGAATTATTATGCCTCCTTTTGGATTAGATCTCGTAGTATTTTCTTATATATACATCCACCTCTCTTGGAAGGATATTGTTTATGTTGGGTAATGTGGAGACTCGGTCCACCGAATTTAATACCTTCCTAATTATGTATCTCACCTACCGCTCACCTACCACACCGACCTATCGCTCACCTACCTCCCACTTACCGCTCTCATGGTTTCTATAAATAGTTTCTTTTGGTTTAAAAGAAAAGCCAAGTCAAGCAAAACCAAGCAAGACCAAACCAAGTCATCTTGAGAGCTAAGAGAGAGGAAGAGAGAGAGAGAGAGAGAGAGAGAGAGAGGGAGAGAAGAAGAGAGAGATTTTCTTGTAAACGTCAAGACACTCGATGATGTAATTCCTAGAAAAAATAAATCCTTTGCAACTCCGTGGATGTAGGAAAATTTGTCGAACCACATAAATCTTTTGTCGAACCACATAAATCTACGAACCACATAAATCTATGTGTCGCTCTGGTGTTTTTCTACGTGCAATTTTTCTCGTTCCCATTTTTCACTTTATTATATTGATTTTTTCACAACAATTGGTATTAGAGCTTTGGTTCAAATCTAAGGAATAACGATGGGCTGAGACGAAGTGATGACCTCGTGGATCGAGAAGTTCAATTGCACAAATTTTGCTTACTAGAGGATGCAGATAGAGGACTACCTCTATGGGAAGAAACTTCATCTTTCGTTACTAGGAAAGAGACCAGAAAAGATGGACGAGGCAGAATGGAATCTATTGGATCACAGGTTCTGGGGGTTATACGATTAACACTGTCGAGATCGGTTGCCCACAACGTCATTAAGGAGATGACTACTTCAGATCTCATGACGGCTTTATCAGGTATGTATGAAAAGCCATCGGCGAATAACAAGGTGCATTTGATGAAAAAAGTTATTCAACTTGAAGATGGTGGATGGTGTCTCTGTTGCTCAACACCTAAATGATTTCAATATTATCACAAATCAATTGTCGTCTGTTGAAATTGATTTTGATGATGAGATATGGGCACTGATATTGTTGGCTTCATTGCCAAATAGCTGGGAAGCCATGAAGATGACAATTAGCAGTTCTGCAGGTAAATTCAAGCTGAAATATGATGATATTCGGGATTTGATTTTGGCTGAGGAGGTGCGCAGGAAGGATTCTAGCGAAGCCATTCTGGCGAAACCTCGCGTTCAAGTTCGGCGCTGAATGTTGATTCCAGTGGGAGATCACATGACAGAAACTCAAACAAAGGAAGATCAAAATCAAAGTCTGCTCAGCAGACAAACTGTTGGAATTGTGGCAAGGCTGGCCACATAAAAAGGAACTGCAGGAATCCTAAGAAGAAGGAGAATGATGACGCTAATGTTGTAACTGAAGAAATATATGATGCACTATTTCTGGAAGTTTACAGTTCTGTTGATGACTGGATACTGGATTAAGGGGCTTCCTTCCATACATCTTCCCGTCGGGAGTTAATGCGAAATTATGTTGCAGGTAACTTTGGGAAGGTATATTTGGCTGATGGAAAAGCTCTGGACGTGGTGGGGATGAGAGACATTGATATTGCATTCCCTAACAAGAGCAAATGGACTTTGGAAAAGGCCAGACACGTTTTTGAGTTGAAGAAAAACCTCATCTCTGTTAGGCAGCTCAATAAGGGTGGTCATTCGATAGTGTTCCCAGATAACATCTGGAAGGTTACCAAAGGAGCATTAGTACTGGCTCGGGGTAAAAAGCTGACACACTATATATGACTACAGGTTTACTCAGACAAGGACACACGAGTTAGAGGTGCATTATGGGGAAGCACAAAAAGGTCAATTTCAACCAGACCTTGTACAAACAAATGGTAGAGAACCACAGAGCTATGAAAAAATCTTGCAAGATGAGAATTCAAGCAAGTGGGAGCTGACCAAGAAGGAGGAGACGGATTCCCTACCAAAGAATCAGACTTGGGAGCTGACAGAACTTCTACTAAGGAAGAAGGCATTGCACAACAAGTGGGTGTACCGAGTGAAAACTGCACTTGCGGCAGTAAGAGGTACAATGCTGGACTTGTTGAAAAGAGCTTTCAGTAAGGGCATGATATTGCTCATGCAGTGGGAGTTGTAAGCAGATACAGGAGTAACCCAGGAAAGAGCTTGGTGGTATAAGGCTACGTTGGCGGTGATATGTCAACTGAGGGTGTTACTTGTGAGAAGCTGAAATTGTGCTCAACTTCAGCTGGTATTCTGACATGAAGACAGAAGTTTTGAGTTGTAGAGGTGGAGGATATTATGTTTGAGGAAAAGATCGGTACAACTAGTAGATGATGCAACCAGTAGGTGATGCATTCAGTGTCTCAGTCTCCAAGTGGGAGACTTGTTGGGTAATGTGGAGACTCAGTCCACCGAATTTAATTAGCTTCCTAATTAAGTATCTCACCCACCGCTCACCTACCACATCCCACCTACCGCTCACCTATTACATCCCACCTACCGCTCACCAACCTCCCACCTAACACTCTCATGGTTTCTATAAATAGTCTTTTTTGGTTTAAAGGAAAAGCCAAGCAAAGCCAAACAGGTCAAGCAAGACCAAGCCAAGTCATCTTGAGAGCTAAGAGAGATAGAGGAAGAGAGAAAGAGGAAGGGAGAGAAGAAAGTAGAAATTTTCTTATAAACATTAATCGTCGAGGTGATCGACGGGGTGTAATTCCTCGAAGAAATAAATCTTCTGCAGCTTCGTGGACGTAGGCAAATTTGCTAAATCACGTAAATCTGTGTGTTGCTCTGGTGTTTTTCTGTGTGCAATTTTACTCATTCTATCTTTTACTTTATTGCCGTCATTTTTCACAACAGTTTAAGATTAAAATGAGACACCATCTCAAATGTAAGGTTACTTTGAATAGTTTTCTTCCTTTTATAATACTTCGTTTCATGGTTCTTTTCCTACATAGTATTTTGGTGATATAATTTTCTCATCGTTTAATCTCTCTCAAAATTTTCTTAGAGATGTAATCATTGATGAAAATTTGATTTATTTTTTACATTTCTAGCAATGTTCCAAATTTCTGTTTAAATGTTATTATTACAATTCCAATCATATATGACGATGCCTATCTTTGGGATCAAACTAGCTCATATTCTCATAACAGTGTTTATATTTCTCTTTTTAATCATGTATTGTGTTTTGATTGTTTGGTTAAAAGGTCATTTTATCAAATATGTTATTCATACTTGGAAAATAAGTCATAATGACTTGAAAAATTGTGATATTCTTTTTTTATAAATTAATAAATATTAATAATAGCTAACCAGGATTTTACTTCACTGAATTTAGATGAATTCTCGTGGATTTGGATAGGTTTTGGCTGTGCTCTTTTTCTTTTTGGTTACGACTGCTTCTTATGCTAGCTCTCTCTAATTTCGGTTCTTCACTTACGTTCTTTGTCTATTTTATTTGTTTCTTGTGCTAATTTTGAGTTTTCCACTATTTTTCTTGCTTTTGGTTTTTGCTTTTCTGATTATTTCTCTTTTCTACTTTTTAGATTCTTATGCATTTGATTGTTTTTTTATAAGGCCTTTATTTTGGTTAATTTGGTTTTGTAGTTCTTCAGATGCCAATTAAAAAGTTGTTGCTCTTTTCTGGATTTTTAAAGCTCTTTTTCAAGGATGCTCTTATGAATCGTCACTCATGGATTTTTTGGTTGCTATTTCGAGATGAAGTTATTGTTCTTTTAAATATTATGATCTTTATATTGAGGATGCTATTTGGTCTTGTTGCTGCTTGGGAAGCTTTATTTTGAGGTTGATGATTGTAGTTGATGTTGATTGAAGAGGTTCTGTTTGGTTGTTTTTCAAGTTTTTATATTGTATCGATTTGGCTTTTTGTTGTTGTTGGAGTGAATGATGTTGTTTTTTGTATTATTTTGTATGAGGTTGTTTGTATTTAGGGTACTTTGTATTAAGTTTAGTTGTACATTATTTTTTGTTGTATTTCATTTTTCAATTTAAAAAAAAAAGATTAGAATGTCCCTCATCTTCCAAAAAAAACTACTATATCTACACACACACACACACACACACATAACCTAGATTTGTTCGTGAATCACATCCAAATAATAAAACATAAAAAAGAAAAAGAGAGAAAGATAGGAAGAGAGGGAAACTAAAAGGCGTACAAAATTAGGTATTTTTTCTAAT